TCGGCTCTCGAGCCGACGCGAACACCCTCCTCGGCGCAGAGAGCGGGACAGGAGACGATAACCAACCTCCTCGCCCTGCGCTGCTCCGGAAATTGGACTTCTGTCCCCTCACCAAACCGCTCTGAATGAACGCGGCAGACGGTGAATTTTTTGTTGAGTCTCGTGGGTGACTCCAAGCCTGCAAGGCCGTGGGGTCCCACCCAGTGGCACCGGCCTCCCTGATGACGCACGCGATAGCGCAACTCTTCAGAGGCTTTGGGAGATGGTGCAGGCTGTCATGTCCTGCCTCCCTGTGCAGACATGCACGCCCTGTACTCCTGCCCCAAGCTCAATAAACCTGTGCTGGCCTGGTAGAAGACTGTGGCTCTTCCTTTCAGTGCGCGCGCTGTTTCCTTGACACTAGCACAACCCTCGCCGGCACAGACGTCGTGCCTGTTGCTCTCGGGGGTGAGCAGCCTTGCAGAACAGGCCCCAAGTGCTACGCTGGGGGCTGGACAAGCCCTGCCTGAGGACAGGCCCTCTGAGGAGCAGGTTTTACACCTCCCTGTAAAACACAGCCTGAGGGAGGTGGTTACGTCAGTGCTTGGTGTCTGCAGGCTGCTCTCAGAAATAGCTACTGGGCAGCTCCAACCACTTCTGCCTGGCAGCGGCTGCTATTTGTCCTTCTGACAAACGCCAAAAGCATCAGTTCAGTCTCCTGGCAGCTGAGCGTTGGCTCTGGTTCTTAATTAGTTCTGCTAATGAACCTTATTGAGCACCTAGAGATGCGCAGGGACTTAGGCCTGAGCCCAGCCACCCCTCTAGCCCCAGAGGTAGGTTGACAGCCCTACAGCCCCCCGGCCCTGAGGACAGTCAGAGGCCCTCAGCATCATGGTGCGATCCTTCGAGAGAGGAAGCAGAGATGGTCAGGACTGTTTTCTCCCCCACCTTCCCTCCCACAGACCCACCGCTGCAGAGGCCATGAGGGGGCTCAAGATTTATTCCAGCTGCTGCAGTTGCATCATGCTTCTGCACGCAGCGCCTGTCTAAAAAACACTGTACAAAGCATCAACATCTTAAAAAAAGAACATAGCACGGGAGAAGAGGGAGTCCCACGCTCTAAGAACCGGGCAGGCGGAACAAACAGCAAGTGACACACGGCAGTCACACGAACGGACCTGACACAAGCACTACAACGGCTCAGGTTTGCTCGCTGAACACCGGCCGAATCCTGTAGCGACGGGGACCTGCTGCCCAGCGGGGGAATGCTGGGCCGGCGCGAGCCTTCCTTAGTCGGAGTCACTGTCGCTCTCCGCCTCCTTCACGTCCACGCTGAACTTGTACTCCTGGTCGCAGCCCATGTAGGCGTCGCTCATGAAGTACAGCGTGTAGTTGTGCGTCCCCGTGGCCGGGGCCACGAAATCCAGCTTCACCTAGGTGGTGAGGAAGAGCTCGCGTCAGGCTGCGGCACCACCAAGGAGAAGCCCCGGGCACCCTCTCCAGCTCGCCGCAGCCGCGTCCGCCCCGCACTGCACCCCGCTCACCTTGGCTTTCTGCTGCAGCGTCAACCGCTTGATGGAGATGAGGCTGTTGGATTTGGAATCGCCGATCACCACCCACCAGCCCTCCTCACGTTTCTGCCGGCGAGATAAGAAATAAGCAGCTGGGGGTGGTGGGGACAGTCCCTGGCTTGAGCAGGAAGCTGCCCCCTTCCAGTGGCCCCCTCAGGGTCGCTGAACCCCCCGCAAGAGCTGCTGGCTGAAGCCATCTGGCGCAGGCGAGATCAGGCACGTACCTGGGGGAAGAGGGGCGCAATGACGGGGCCGGTGACCTCCTCTTCACGCTCCAGCTGCACCAGCACCACCACGGGCCCCCCACTGCGTGGAGAGAACCAAGAGGCGATTAGGGCGGCCCCCGCGCCGGCACAGCAGCACCGAGGGGGCCACGCCGACTGCTGCCTCTCCGGGCCTCACCTGCGGATACTCTCCTTCTCCACCACCTCGTAGGAGAGCTCGATGTTGGGGTAGCGGTTACAGAAGCGGGCTACATCTGCAATCTGGGCATCTGAGAGCTGCAGCAGGGCGTTTCGGTCCTCATCCTCCATCTCCATGATGTCGAAGACGCTCTCAACCCCCTGCAATGAACGCGTGAAGAAGCGGAGCCGCCTTTCAGCCTTGTGGTTGCCTGGAGGTCCTCAGCGGGCGAGGGCGGGACTGCCTTGTTCAGGTCAAGGCTCGGCCCCCTGAAGGGAACCCAGCACCACAACCAATGCCAGACTTCAGCAGGGACTGCCGAGAGTCTGGCTTTCCCCCTTTCCAGCCTGAGCAGCAGGACCACGGACTGCCAGCACCTACACAATGCTCTCTAACCTTACAAAATGGCTATTTTTTGGCCGACCGAGAGGCTCAAGGCTGCCCCGCTCCAACCAAGGTCTGCCAGGCGATCCCCCGCTTCCCCAGCACGGCGTTTTCCCCAGAGATGCCAGTTTACCTTGTCTGTGCAGCGCTTGATGTGCTCAGAGGTGAAGTGAGGCAACTGCTTGAGGTACGAGTCCTTCGACCACATGGCCTGCGTGACCATCTGTGCCAGTTCCATTGCAGCCAGCGCAGGGCTGAGCCAGCCGTTGCTGGACAGCACGTCCACGCATGCCTGGATCAGCCGGATTGCCTGGGTGCGGGGGATCAGGACAGGTCAGAAGGCAGCACAGAACCACCCACAACACAGACAGGTACAGGCAGGCAGGAGCTGCTTGTTTCTACGTGTTCCCACGCTCACCGTACCTTGCTGAGGATTTCCTCAGTGTCCGACTGCAGCTCGGCACTCAGCTGCATGCGTGACAAGTGAGCTTGCAGCAGGAGGTTGGTCTTAACGTGGGGATCATTGAATTTGGGGTTGGTCAGCTTGTGGGGAACTTTCTGGGCCAGCTACGGGGAGAAATAAACCTGTCAGTGCTTTAGCCATGCAGAGCAGAGAACGCAGGCAGCATCCCTCCTGTGATCCTGCAGGGCTCGGGCGTGAAGCCACCTCTGTCCCCGGCAGCCCCAGATCCCACAGTTACTTCGGTGACCCAGTTCGGCACAGACACGCTGTCCCCCTCACCTGCCGCAGCAGGTTGTCCTCATGGTGCCTGATGGGGATGTTCTCGTACTCGGCAGCGTTGGATATGATTTCAATCAGCCCTCGCACCTTGGTCTTGGCATTGAGGGACATGCTGAAGAGCTCTGGGGAAGCCAGAGAGGTAGCGGAGTCAGGGAGAATCAGGCAGCATTACACCCCAAAATACAAGACACCTTCAGGCAGACAACACGCAAGCGTCAGAGCATTACGCATTCAACCACACACAGGGCACGTTCTCTCCAATGTCCCTGGCACAGAGAGCAAGGTGTGGGGAGGAGGGACAGGCTCTCCCCCGAGAGCAGGAGCACCAGCAAGCGCCTGTTGTCTGCTATCTGCCCTTCGCAGAGCCCTTATCTGCCCTTCGCAGAGCCCTTACCAATGGTGGTGTAGTTGATGTAGTAATAGGCTGCGATCATCCCCAGGTTCAGAGGAGCTACATCCATCTCGTCCTCGATGCTGATGCACTTGGACTGCTCCAGGTCGCTGAGGGTCTGCTCCACCAGCTCAGACAGATGGTCTGAGAGATGCCTGTGGGACACACCTGCAGGCACAGCAGCATTGCAGAGGGGCTCAGAAACTTCCCAGGACGGGAAAAAGCTGCTCTTGGGGAAGCAGAGCCCACAGGGTACAGGCTAGGAGTCCCCATTAGCCCCCCCTCAACTCTGCCCTGCATCTACCCACCCTAGATCATTCAGCTCAGTGCAGAGCCCCCTGCTCACCTTGCAGGTTGTAGTAGTTTGGATTCTGGGTCATCCTGCGATACAGGAACGTCCAAGTGAGGTAGTCCACTGCGTCCTGCTTGTTTTCAATGGTCTTGGTGACAATCTCAGCATTGAAGTGATCATGCATGCAGTGGTCCAAGTGCGACTCCACCGGCAGGGGCTCGTAGAGGAATTTCTTGAAGAAATCCTAGGGCAGGACAAGAACAGAGGCAATGGGACCAAATAAACCACCTGCAGGCTCCAGGAACAAGGAAGAAGTGCCCATACTGCTAAGTTAGCAGTGCTGGCTCAGTTCCACTCTTGCGAGCAGATGCATGGTGTGGTTTTGAATGCACACGCTGTTCAGCAGTTCCCTCAGCCTGTTGCACATCTGGATTACAACTTTGCTGCCGGGCAAAAATAGCTTTGTAACTAGGACACACGCAGTGCTCTTCGTTGCTGCTAGCCAGGGATCAAGAAGGCTGTAAAAGCTCTCCTGATCTCAACAGCAGGGCTCTCAGCGAGGGTTGCCCTAGCTGGCACCAGTTAGGAGACAGATATTCACAGGCCAGACACAGTGCCCAGCCCTTCACCCACCTTCTTGGATCCCTGGCACATGATGACACAACGGCCCTCGTCGTCCTGCAGCGGGCGATTAGCGTGGCCCACCATCTGCAGAACATCGTAGATGGGGTAATCCACATACCTGAGGCAGAGAGAGAGTTTTGCTTTAACAAAGGGCGGCCGCTTCACGGAAAGCTACCACCGCTCTGCTGCCCAGGGCCTCAATTTGCCTGGACAGAGATGAAGCCCTTTGGGATCTGGGTCTCGTTCCCTTGTGCCCAGTAAAGCCCTGAACTAGCGGGGTGGACATCAAGGCAGACCACATCTGGTCTTGCCTGCAGGTACAATATACTCACGCATGGATCTTGCCATTATAGTACTGTGTGTCCATGATGATCACGAGGTGAGCAGCAATGCTCATACCCCAGCAGAGGCTGCGGGAGGCAACCATCACCTGAACTGCTCCTGAAAGGCAAGCACAGAGCGGTCAGCCAGCAGGCAGAGCACCTTTCTGGCGTCAACACTTGCACCCCAAGGGAAAACAGGCACAGAAA